CCATGCCTGGCTAGCTCTCTTTTCTACTCGGGTGCTTGCCACTCTCCCATCTGCTTTCTAGCTTCTGAAATCTTCCTGTTAGATAGCATCTTTTGCCAGGCGTGGTGGCACACGCCTATAGTCCCAGCACTCGGGAGGCTGAGGCAGGAGGATCATTGCGAGTTCGAGGCCAGCATGGGCTACAAAGTGAGCTCAAAGCCAGCCTGAACTGCATAAAGAGACCCTGTCTCAAAAAGATAAAAAAAAAGAAAAAATAGCATCTTTTAAAATGTAATCATTCAGGGTGGACACACAGCAGTTAGGGCCATTTTAGTGGGATTCCGGAAGGCAGAGGGTGTGCATGTGCTTGTTGGATCTGCCTTCTTTACCTGGTAAGCCGGGAGTAACTGCCTGTGGCTGAAAAGCCATTTCTATCACCCCGTCCCTTCTCAAGTGTTCTGTTACTGATTTTAGTTGCCGATGATGAGATCACTTGACAACTTGGTGAGAACAGAAAGATGCAGTATTCTTCCAAGGAAATGAGTGGTTTTACTGCGCAGGCTGAAGCGGCTTCACAGCTGCTCTGCGCACGGCGAGCCTGCCAGGTCCCCAGGTCCACGCTGTGCCCTCCTAGCCGCGGGGAGTTTTGCCCTTGCTCGCAGCCGCGAGGCACACTGTGGCATTTTGTTGGGGTTTTCTCATCCAGCTTTTGAAATAGCTCCCCACAAACGTCCCTCAGCGGTGTCACCTTGAATGTGACAGGCTCAGGGCACTGTGACCTGGGACCACCCTGCTGGACGCTTCCCGGCGTGTTGCCTCACGAGGACCGGAGATGATGGCGCAGATGAAGCCGGAGCTATTGGAGGCAGAGCCTGGTGGTCTTGTGGGGAGACTCTTGCCTGCGTTTCTGCTGTTTGACGTGACCAGGAGTCTTCCCCGAGATGACTCCCACTTCTCAAGCTTGCTGTGGTGGACTGACAACTGGTGGTCAGTTTGTAACACCAGGTGGAGCTGAACCAGCGCG